CTGTAAACAATTACCTTCTATGTGATAGGGACTTTTTAGGTTACAATTGCATCTGGCTTTCTTTTGTTTACAATCAACGATATTGTACAACATTTTGTTATGCATAACATTTCGAAGGTTTGGCAATCAGCATATTACACAGATCTCGCCTGTTGTGACCTTTTCTTCTGTCCAAACACCAAGAAGATTTCAAGACACCGATAAGAGATTGCGACGAGGCAGCTGCTCGCTATCCCAGAAAAGGAATTCCGGGAATGCTTCCTTCAGTTGAAACGACGGTGAATAAAGTGTATAGCTTCAGGAGGGTACTACTTCGAAGGAGATCAAATGTAATCCGAAAATTTTTTTTCGGATTACATCTATATTTTCGTTGTCCTGTTATTACCGAGAAGTAAAAAACAAAAACAAATCTATTTCCATACCTGAAGATGTCTGTAGGAACAGCCGAAAGCTTGTAAAAAACTAAAAAGACCTTATGCAACTGGAATTTATAAACAGGGATCATAACATTCATATACAGTTTCGGGGTTAATGTACTTTATTAAATTTGTTTGCAAAGATGTATTCTCGCCATTTAAATCATTAATTTCTATATCTGTTTTTTGTATGAATGATTCATGTAATATATATATATATATATATATATATATGTGTGTGTGTGTGTGTGTGTGTGTGTGTGAAGACCTCATTATCCTTTCAAGGAAACCTTTTGGCCTAAATTTTTATCAAAAGCTGGACGTTGACGAATAGAACAAATAATGTAGACACAATTTGAAAAATAGCCAATGAAGAAGAAACTGGAATACGATTAAATTAGATTTTAATTGTGAACAAATTGATGATTAAAAGCAATAAAAAGTTCCAAAAAGAGTATAAAATAGGGAAAAATTTCCTCATATTCCCCTGAACAAACACAAGGAAGAAATAAAATGATCTTTCAGTTGACACAGGCTAGGCTGGTGAATTTTGATGTACACATCTTCGAGAAATCTAAAGTGGTGAACATAGCGATCTCTATGTAAAATAGAGAAAGATCTGTCATTATATATGGTGCTACAAACCGTATTGTTTGATATATATATATATATATATATATATATATATATATATATATATGATTGAATAAATTGCTAACATTATGTCTGCTTTTTTAGCACAATCCTTTCATATTCACGAATATTTTTCCGTATATTACAATTGAATAAGGCAAGAAATAAATGCTTTATTCAATTGTAGCATAAGGAAAACCTACTCGTGGATATGAAAGGATTATGATAAAAATAAGCAGACATAATGATTGTAATTTATTCAATCAGACATGCCTAAAAGGGAATTTACTGCCTAAAGACACAAAATATATAAATATATATATATATATATATATATATATATAAGGGTAAGGCAAATGTTGCGCACCATAAGAGAAAATTAATTAATCATGTTACAAATATTTGAGTGGTTACCGAGGTCAGCAGAGTTCACACCTTTGTAATTTTTTTGTTCTGCGGATATTTGAAATCAGTTGTTTATCAGACGTACCCAGGAAATAGTGAGGTACTTAAAGGAAGAGTTAAATATGAATGCAGTAAAATGACAGAGGAAACTCTCCGACGTGTTAATGAATCCCGCAGGCACAGAATTAAAATGTGTTTTGAAAAAGGAAAGAGAGTAAATTACTAGTAAATAGTATTTTTTTATGTAGCAAATTATCCTTATGGTGCGTGACATTTGCCTCAACAAAATTTTAAAACTAGTTTGGACTTTTAGTTCCTTATATGAAACTTGCTTTCTGTGCCTACGCGAGAAAATGCAAATAATCAGATTTTTGAATAGGGATGAGTTGCTAAATCAAAGATTCGAACAAATTGTTAACTGTAGGCACATTACGCCTTTGACAAACTTGCTAAACTTTAAAACTTAATAATCACTTAAATAATAATTGAGTCATCACTTAAATTAAAACTTAATAATCTTGCTAAACTTTAAAACTTAATAATCACTTTTCTTATGTTAAATATCTTAATAAACATTTTAAAATTATCCTGAGTAAAGTAAGTTTAATTGGTAGGTAACGTAGTAGATAAATTATTAATAAAAAATTACAGGTAAAATTTTGTATAAAAATATATATAGGTCCGGCTAACATTGTAACATTTTCTATTCTTGTTTTTTTTTACTGCAAGCACGCGCGTGCGCACACACACATACATACACACACACATATATATATATATATATATTTGTGTATTTAGGCAGCAAATTCGCTTTTAGATATATTTGATTGAATACATAACATACATTGTATCTGCTAATTTTTAATAAAGTCCGTTCATACTCACGAATAACCTTCCGTCTATTGATTTTAAAGGATGAGAAAAATATGCTATAGCTGTTTAAATTTTTTTTATTTTCATTTCCCAAGTACTTTCGATCTTCTTCCAAGATCATCTTCAGTAGTACAAATAAAATTACAGATACTAGAAACAATTTATATTAAAAAAAAAAAAATAAAATAAGGCCGCCACTGAACAGAATCACTATGGATACTGCAGTTATGTTCTAAAATGCCGGTAAAGGAACAGTTTTTCATTCTTTAATGAGCGCGTGACTACGACATTATAACAAAGAGGAAAAAATTCAATAATGGATAATTTTTTCACGTTCTAATGAACGCTTAGCACATTGTCATCCGTTTTGCATTTAAAAGCATAATGAAAAAAAATACAGTAATGGATAACAACGCACATCTTTATATAAATACTTATACTAATGAACAACATATAGTTTTGTACTACTTGCTCCCCTGAAGATGATCTTGGAAGAAGATCGAAAGTACTTGGGAAATTAAAATAAAAGAAATTTTTAGAAAATATATAGCACAATTCTCTCATCCTTTAACATTAATACACAGAAGGTTATTCGTGAGTATGAACGGATTTTATTAAAATTAACAGACATAATGTAATTTATTCAATCAAACACACATACACACACACACACACATATATATATATGTGTTTGTGTGTGTATATATATACGTATATATGTGTATGCTATATATGTATATATATACGTATATAAAATTCTTTGGTTAACAGTTATACTCTATTAATTAAAATTTAATTTTAATTTATATTTTATAAATTTATCGTAATATTTATTATTCATATGACTTATGTATTTGATCTATGTATCTTTTCGTCTCGGTAATTTCTTTTTTTATTCATTTTTATTTATTTAAATTTTATATAAACTATATGAAATATAAATAAATAAAAATGAATTTTCATTAATATATTTATATAAATATAAATAAATAAAAATGAATTTTCATTTATTATTTCGATTTAATTTTCTAATTTTCTGTTTTATAATTCGATATATTTTTCTGTTATTTCTTTCTTTTTGCTCTTAAATTATATTTTTTATTTACATACTATGTATAATTATTGTTTCGATATGTTGCCTCTTCTTTGAAAACACCAACTGTCTATCTTTCATCGAATAGACATGATTACGGTTAAATTTAAATCTATATCATCTTACTTAACGTAAATGATTTTCATTGGTTAAACTAATTCAAAACATGGCCTGGTCTTGTCTTTTTCATTTCTATATCATTCTCATATTTATCATTATCTCTTTTTCTTTTTCTTTTTCTTCGAAGAAGAGATTATATCTTGGGTCTTTCTTTTCTTCTATTTCTTCTTTCTTTTTCTTTTCACTGACTATATCTTGCCTTTCTTTTTCGGCTATATGTTGTGTTTTTTCATTTTCTTTTTGAGATCATTATATCTTATGTCTTTCTTTATACATACATATATATATATATATATATATATATATATATATATATATATATATATGTATGTATTTTTAAGCATTACGCCCCGAGCAAGGCGTGAAGCCATTAGGATGCAGGGGGTTGCGGAAGATTTGGAGCGAGAGCGGATAGGAGTGATAGAAGAAAGGATGAGGAGAAGGATAGTGGGTAGATCAAGGTAACTGGAGGTGTCGATTGACATTACATTTGAATAGTTGGAGATTATAGCTTTCAGGGAAACAGTAATTGGAAAGGGTGTTCCACAGGCGAGAGGTGCGAGGTATGAAGCTATTGAAGTAGAAGAGACGGCTACATTTAAAAATTTCTACTATTAAATTTGTTATAAACTTCATTTTACCACTGCCTGATGAGATGCTACGTTGCAACGAAACATTAATGCATTTTTGCCGCGGAAATATATGTTCAAATGTAATAACGTATAATAAAGAATTATGGCTCTACTTTTGTATTGAGCGCTTTTCTAAATTAATTTTATGAAGATTTGAATTTACATTTGATTCGTTCTCACGGCATTCCGACACACACACACACACACACACACACACACACACACACACACACACATATATATATATATATATATATATATATATGAGCTTAAATCTTCCAGTATCAAATCAAAATACAATAATGAAAATGCCCTTCGTTCACCAATCCATGTTCTGTTTCTCAAAGGCAGGCAGTTATTTACAAGAGATCACTCGCCTTGGCTTTGACAAGGTAGAAATTTGACACTTTATCTGTTTTCTTTATATGAATGTTCTCTTTAGAGTAAAGCAGGAGAGATCTAAATCTCTGGGAGGCCCACCCGCAGGGAGACCAGCTTCTCAGGTTAAATAACTCGAAGATCACGGGGTAGAGAGATGATGGTGTTAAACTTTAAGACCCCCGTGAAATGACATAGAAGTTATTTAGGTTGAGCCATTTTTAAAGTTGAAAAGATTTTATTTAATTTTATGTATAGAAACTCTGCGAATGCACATATAAATTGGAAGATGTAATTTACTATATATATATATGGGTGTTCTCTAGCTGATTTAATATTTGCGGTGGGATGGCGTCTACGGCATTATGCAGAGAAAAGTTAACATATTTTATATTTAGCGGCCTTTATCCACGGCCGTAAACTTTTCGTCTGTTTACAAAAAATCATAAAATGTTGACAA